ACCCCAGGAGTCCACGGGGTTCTCGCCATTCGAATTACTATTCGGAAGGAGAGTGCGGGGTCCCTTAGACCTCATTAGGGAACACTGGGAGGGAACAGTCACCAGTAACGGTACCCCTATCGTCCCATATGTACTAGAGTTCAGGGAACGCTTGGAGACCCTAATCCAGACGGTACGGTCTAATCTCCAGGCGGCCCAGCAACGACAGCGCAGATGGTACTATAGGGGAGCCAGAGACCGCAGTTTTCAAATAGGACAAAAGGTGTTAATCTTGAAGCCGGTAATTTAAATTAAATAAAAAAAATTTAAAATAATAATAAAAAAATAAAAAAAAAATTATATATCTATATGAAATTTTATTCTAACTGTATTTTAAAATTAATATATATATATTTATATCAAAATACACTTAGAATGAATTTGTATATATATCTATGTATATAAAAATAAATAAAAATAATAAAAAATATACATACGTCCATATACAAAATTACATAAATAATTATATAAATATACACGTAGACTTCAAATATATAAATATGCATATATATTTAAATTCTACGTGCGTATTTATGTAATAGTTTTACATAATTCAGTAATTTTATTGATTGCAATTTAAGGGACCTGCCTGCCAGCCCAGGCCGAAATTCCAGAGAATTGAATTTGCTAGCACTGTATTTTACCCTGTAACGTTCTACGACACCCTAAAACCTGTACATGGGGGGTACTGTTTTACTCGGGAGACTTCGCTGAACACAAATATTAGTGATTGAAAACAGTAAAACATATCACAGCGATGATATTGTCAGTGAAAGTGACTTTTTTTGCATTTTTCACACACAAACAGCACTTTTACTGATGATATTGTTGTGATACGTTTTCCAGTTTTGAAACACTAATATTTGTGTTCAGCAAAGTCTCCTGAGTAAACAGTACCCCCCATGTACAGGTTTTATAGTATTTTTGAAAGTTACAAGGTCAAATATATGGGTCAAATATTTTTACATTGAAAATGGCCAGGTTGGTTACGTTGCCTTTGAGAGCGTATGGTAGCCCAGGAATGAGAATTACCCCCATGATGGCATACCATTTGCAAAAGAAGACAACCCAAGGTATTGCAAATGGGGTATGTCCAGTCTTTTTTAGTAACCACTTGGTCACAAACACTGGCCAAAATTAGCGTTCAATTTAGTTTTTTTACTTTTTTCACACACAAACAAATATGAATTCTTACTTTGGCCAGTGTTTTCGACTAAGTGGCTACTAAAAAAGACTGGACATACCCCATATTGAATACCCTGGGTTGTCTACTTTAAAAAAAATATGTACATGTGGGTGTTATTCAGAGATTTATGACAGATAATAGTGTTACAATGTCACTATTGATAAATTTAACAAATTTATGTTTTGAAACCGCAATATTCTACTTGTACCTATAGCCCTATAACATGCAAAAAAAGCAAAAAAGCATGTAAACACGGGGTATTTTTAAACTCAGGACAAAATTTTGAATCTATTTAGCAGTTTTTTTAATTCGCTTTTGTAGATGAGTAAAAGATTTTTCAAGTAAAAGTCAAAAAACATGTATTTTTTTTCAATTTTTCATCATATTTTTTTATTTTTTTAAAATTAAAATACATGAGATTATATAAATAATGGTATGTAAAGAAAGCCCCTTTTGTCCTGAAAAAAACAATATATAATTTGTATGGGAACAGTAAATGAGAGAGCGGAAAATTCCAGCCAAACACAAACACCACAAAAGTGTAAAAATATGCCTGGTCGCAAATGTACAACATCGCAAAAACAGTCCAGTCCTTAAGGGGTTAAAAAGTATTTTGAAAGGATGGCCCCATGCATAGCGAACCTGGTGTGAGCGTAGGTTATCTGTAATTGGCTTCCATTGCCGCCTCTTAAGGAGGGTAGTTGGTGAGAGATCTTGGAAGATTTGTAGGGTGTATATATATCATTTTTGTTTTACTACTCTTCACATGCTCTCGCTTAAGTGTGAAAACTTAAGAGTGATGTAGGTGAACAAAACTGGTTTGGACAGCTGACTCTGCACACTGTGCAAAGGCTCTTGCGGCTTCTGTCGCTTTAACACTGTGGCATGTTCCCTTTCTTCTACACTCACCACATTTTCTCTGCCCAGACTGTATAACAGCAGCTTATGTCTGCTTGTAAGTAGGTTAGGAAAGGAGTGGACCAGCAAATGCTAGAGGACAGTCAGGGCCGGCACGTCCATCAGGCGCCCTTCTTAGGGTACACCCGCTCTGGGGGCGCAAGATTCAAGTAAGCTGGCAGGAGGGAAGTGCACAGTCACTGAGAGAGCACTTTCTGTGAGTGTGGTCAAGTACACTGAAGCTCAGCCACACTACAAGAGAGGTAGGGGACACACCAAGGGACAGGGAGGGTAGAGAAAAACTAAGGGACAGGGAGGGGAGGGAAGAGAAAAATGTAGAGACAGGGAGGGGAGGGGAGAGAAAAACGAAGGGACTGGGAAGGGAGGGAGAGGAACAATAAGGGACAGCGAGGAGAAGGGAGGGAGAAGAACACTAGAGGAACAACTGCCCCCGTCCATTCTCCCCCCATACGTCTATCGTCCCCCTCCC